CCAGGGGGCCTGGGTCTTGTGGCTTTGTACACTTGCAGGTGCTGGAAGCTTCTGCCCTGCAGCTCTCCAGATAAGAGGCAGCTGTTCACCCGCTTTTCTGGGCACACTTGGCCCCCACTGCCCAGGCCCCTTCTGGGGTACCTCCCCCCCATGCTTTTCTTTCCAGTCTACACACAGGGTAGGCATGGCTGTGGTAGAATGTGGCCTCCTGTTCCTCCATTTTTTTCTTCCTCTGTTTCCAGGGGCCTAGCAGTGACATCCCTTCTTGCTAGCTAAATAAGAAAATTCAATTGTGTCTCTCCTGATTTCAGGGGGCCTGGACAGTGCTGGCCTCTAGAGAAGTGGGGAGGTCCTCTGCATCAGCACAACAGGGAACAAGGCCCAGGCAGTAACTGGCCATTGTGAACCTCCAGGGGGCAGTCTCTGCTGATCCCCCACTATGTAACCTTTGACCAGTCCCTTCCCCATTCTGGGTCTATATACTTATCTATAGGTGAGGTCACAGCAGTGTTCACCAACTGGGCAATAAGAGGGTTTAAGACAGCCCTGGGACGGTACATGTGCCTCATGCTGGTGACTCTTGTCACTGAAGGTTTTTACTATCTCCTGGCTACATGGGACTGGCCCTCCTGCCCAGACCCTGTGTCCGTGCTGGGTGTGTGTCGCAGGCCACATGGACATGCTGTGGTCCACCTAGAGGCTGCTAGCCTGGGCAGTGTCTCCCCTGAGCCTCACTCTACCCACTCTGTTGCAGGTCACACGGGCCGTCTGCTGCGCACACTGCTCTGCCTCAGCCTCCTTTTCCTGGTGGCCCACCTTGCCTTCCAGATATGCCTGCATACTATGACGAGCCTGAAACAACTCCTGGAGTCACACTGTGAGTGACTGAGGAGTGGGGCAGGGGAGGTGTACCTGGGAACGGCAGTCCTGGGGTGGAGGGGACCAGGGTGCTAGCTTGGGACCTCAGGTCTCCAGTCTCATTGGGCCACTCTGCTTCACCCAGACTTTGCCTAATATGGGCTGCCTCTGGGTGCCTGGCCATGATTTATGTCTGATCCAGATGGCCTATCTTGCATGTTCCTGGCAGTGATGTGGTCAGTGGGGCCAGGTCAGTCCCAGAGTGGTATCAGGCTGGGGAACAGCCCTGGGCTTCCTGGTATCCCCAGCTGTCAGCACCTTCCTGTGCTCACTGTAGCTTATCTATGGGGCCATGTGTCACCAAGGGCCCTTGGCACCTCTGCCCATCCCTAGTGCTCTGTGCCCTTTCACCTGTGGGCAGTGTGTCCAGCTGTCATCTGCTTTCCAGCCAGGCCAACACCAGCACTCTAGCTTCGTGTGTAGAAGTCCTGAGCTTTAGGTCTCTACCTCCCCGTAGCCTCGCCCAGCTTTGCAGACCACTTCCAGCCCTTCCTGCCTGTACTTTCCCAGCTAGGTTGAGAGTTCCTGTCCTGCCACTCAGGCCAGGCAGCCTGGCTCAGTTTCTCTGTCTGTGTAGGTAGCATTTTCAGCATCATTGGTGTGCGGTCCTACATGGAGTCCCTAACAGCCATGCCCCTAGGGTGTCCTGACTCACAAGACCGGTCACTGGGCAGGCACCCTGCCTGACCTGGGGCCTCCTCCCTCAAGTCCTTTCTCTGCAGGCAGCCTCTGGGAGAACATTTCTCGACACATAGGGGTCACGAGGTAAGATTCCTACTCCATGCCCTGTCCCCTGTGAACCAATCCTCTGGGTTTCACAGTCCTAAGGGTGGCCTGTGTGTATCCACATTCCCCATCCCACCCCGCCTTCTTATGTGGGCTATGAGCTCTCCCTGATGTTCACAGGCTGAACCTGTCGGACATCCCCAATACCACCCGACTGGTGGCGCCTGACCTGGTTGTCCTGGTGGTCTCCTCTCTCTGCCTTGGCCTCTGTGGACGCCTGACGAGGAAAGCCCGACAGAGCCAGCGGGCCCAGGAGCTGGTGAGGGATTACAGCAGCCCAGGTCTCATTGAAGGAGTTAGTGCTGAAGTCTACCCATTCTGAGGACAGTTTTGATTTTAACAAGCATAGACTTTTATGATTGGAGGATATTAATGTGTGGCATGTATAGTCACATGTATCGGGTGGAAATGATACAGGAGGGGAAGGGAAGTTTTGCCACATTCTCAGGTTCCCAGCCACGTGGCTGTATCCACTTGAGGCCTACCCTCCAGGGCTCCAGTTCTCAGTCACCTCAACCCCAAAGCAGGTCTCTGCTGAGGGATCTGTCACTTGTAGGGGCATCAACCAAACTGGAAGATTCTGGATAACATCCTGGGAGGCTGAGATTGCTTCCTTGAGCTGAGGCCTAAGTCAAGCTTATCCCTAGGGCAGGAAGCCTGGAGGGTCCAGCCCTGTATCTCCTTCACCCTGCTGCTGTTCCTAGGGACCACTGCTGGACACTCAGTCCTGCTTGAGGGCTGCAGTCCAGCCTTCCCACCCACACCAGCCTTGGCCTCTGCCTCCCAAGAGCTGGGCTAGGATTTATGGCTGGTCAAGTCCCTCCAGGGCTCCAGTTCTCAGTCACCTCAACCCCAAAGCAGGTCTCTGCTGAGGGATCTGTCACTTGTGGGGGCATCAACCAAACTGGAAGATTCTGGATAACATCTGGGAGGCTGAGGTTGCTTCCTTGAGCTGAGGCCCAAGTCAAGCTTATCCCTAGGGCAGGAAGCCTGGAGGGTCCAGCCCTGTACCTCCTTCACCCTGCTACTGTTCCTAGGGGCCACTGCTGGACACTCAGTCCTGCTTGAGGGCTGCAGTCCAGCCTTCCCACCCACACCAGCCTTGGCCTCTGCCTCCCAAGAGCTGGGCTAGGATTTATGGCTGGTCAAGTGTTCTAATGCAAAGTTCTCAGCCCTTAGGCACCAGGTCCCAGCATCCATTTAACAACTGACACTTGCTGGGCTCTAGGGCAGCCCAGAGAGAGCAAAGGATTCCACAGGCCTCCAGCACTCAGCAGCTTAGAGTGCGTAGGCCTGATAGCCTTGGGGCATTTGACCCTCCGTCAGCAGCTGTCCTGTTCTTCCCGTGCCCAGAATTGTTCATCAGTCACAGTGCTTCTCAGGAGGTTCCCAGGACGGGGCCAGGTCGTCATGTCTTCCATCCTTCCACCCCAAGGGATGGCTCCTATCCTTGGGCCAACAGAGTGTAGCTGGGGGCTCCTCCCTCCAGTCTTCTTCCCCTGGGTCTTAGGGATACATCTTCCTGACTTTGCTTCTGGCCTCTTTGGACTTGTAGAGGGAGTGGGCTTGGGGACTAGCTATCCTGTCTCCTGGTCTGGCTTCCATGTCCCCTACTTCTAGTCTGTGTTCAGTAGCATGTCCCTGGGACCCTGGTAGCCTCCTAAGCCTTTGATGGCTTGTGAAGAAAGAGCTGCCTGGCACAGCTTCCCTGCCAGGCTTCATCCCTTGCTTTGCAGGTGGGAAGCAAACTCAGAGAGGTTAAGTAACTTTCCTAAGGTTACCAGTATGGAGACTATTGGAGCTGTGGGGAGCCCATGTCATCTGGCTCCAGAGCTAGTGCACTCAGCCTGGGCACCCAATACCCCCTCAGCTGTTCCCATAGGCACATGACTGCCAGCAGCTGGCCTGAACTAGGCCTGCTGACGATAGTCTGTGTTCTTTTCCACCATGCCCTGGCCTTCCCTGAGGCCTGGGAAGCAGCTCTATTCTGGGAATCCTTGTCAGCGGGGAGCCCATGTCATCTGGCTCCAGAGCTAGTGCACTCAGCTTGGGCACCCAATACCTCCTCAGCTGTTCCCATAGGCACATGACTGCCAGCAGCTGGCCTGAACTAGGCCTGCTGACGATAGTCTGTGTTCTTTTCCACCATGCCCTGGCCTTCCCTGAGGCCTGGGAAGCAGCTCTATTCTGGGAATCCTTGTCAGAGCCAGGGAAAACAGGTCTTGATGGGTCTCCGTTCCCTGCCTCAGGCAGGGGCTATCACTCTCCTTCCCAAGTAGCCATCCACGTTCTGGGAATCCTTGTCAGAGCCAGGGAAAACAGGTCTTGATGGGTCTCTGTTCCCTGCCTCAGGCAGGGGCTATCACTCTCCTTCCCAAGTAGCCATCCACCTCTGTCACTCTGGAGGATCAGAAGGGGCAGAAGCAGCCCTCAACAAAAAACCTTTTGGCACTGGAGGGCTGGAGAAACGCCCAGTTGGAAAGCTGGCAGAACGCCAGGAGGCCCTGGAGCTGCTGTGTCCCTCAAGGTCCCCCTTGCTCCCCAGAGACCCCGTAAGGTGCAAATGAGTCCCTGCTCTCCCTGACTGTGTGATGTGGACTGTTGCTTGTCATCTCTGGACCAAGGATTGTAGGTCTGAAGGTGCTCTGTAAATAGCAGGACAATGTGTGTGGTGTGCATGTGTATATGTGCTTTCTGTCCTTTCTAAAAATCCCTCCCAGGTGCCAAACTACACTGAGACAAGAGCTTCGGGGACAGATTTGGGATCTGTGGGACTGCCATGTCCTCTGGACATTATGACCTGGATGGATTGAAGTGTTTCAGAACAGTTGGGTCATCCTATGCCTGGCCTGGACAGGATCATGTGTCTTGGGGTGAGGTGGGGTTGTGTCTAGTGAGGCCCATGTGACAGAGCTCTAGTGAGGAAGGAGAAAGGCTTGGACCTCCTTTGGACAAGGAAGAAGTTCGGTGAGGGCTGCAGGCCATAGGTCACATCAGAGGGGCACCTGTAGGCCAGGCCTTCCTCTGCCTCAGCTAGGCAGGTGAGGCTGGAGCAGCATCAGGGCTGGGAGCCTCACTTCCCCATGACGTCAGC